TAACTAATTGTAGAAAAAATTATCAATTTAATTGAGGATTTCCATGCAAAACAAAGTCGAATGAACATTACACTTTGATAAAAAATTGATTTTTTAGGATTTTTTTTTTTAACTTTTTGACAATGAAAACAAATTTTATAATCAATTGTGGAAAAAATTATCACATTAATGGACAATTTCCATATAAAACAAATCTAAACGAAAACAAAAAGATTCAAAATTTTCAAATAATATCAATCAAACACACATAATTAACAATAATTTGGAAAACAAGTTATAGGTAATTATTTTCTTTGGAATTCATTTTCTTTCCACCTATTTTCCACTCTTGCAATCAAATGGACCTTTAAATTTATACGATATAAAGAACCCAACAAATGTACTGCCGACAACAAATCTTGACAAGAATTTAAAGATTGTCCTCAGAGTTACCAAAGATGTAATGCCCTCAAATTACCTACTAACATAGAGTTTTTAAAAGGAAAATTGATTTTTTTTTTTAAATGTGCCATTAACAGTAAAGAAAAGTTATGAATCTAACAAGAGTTTTGCTAAATGTACACCAGAGTGTATAGCCCCCTCACAATAGGGGGTCCACGAATTTTTTATTGGATGTGAGCCCTCTCTTTTGTGAAGAGGGTCCCCGGTGTACAAGTAGCAAAATTCATCTAACAAAAGGTAGTGGAAAATGATTTTATAAAACATGATTAAATAAATTAAAAAAAAAACAAGACAAGACCCCGTTTGGTAAAGATTAAAATTCAATTAAAATTGAAAATATAGCCGTTATTGGGTTCCACTCGTCTAATAAAAGTCAACAATAACGACTAATTTTTTAATTTTAATTCGATTTTAATCTCTACCCAACATGCTCTAAATAAGCTTTTAATAAGACATGTTTGATGCATACAACTAGTCAACATTGAATTTGAAAAGAAATAAATATTTCGAATGAATGTCTCAAACTTAACAGTCGATTGTTTAAAACATTATGCAACCTAAGCAAAATAAACGGGTTGTTTTTATTTTTTAAAAAAATAAAATTTCTTCTCCATTTACTAAAATTAACCAACACTTTGAAACTGCATAAAACATAACCAAAAATCAAGCTTAAAACCTTAGCGAATCCTTCCTCAACCAGGTGAACTGACCTTGACCATGAGGTTTTATAATTTCAATTATGCTTCGTATACATTTCCTTTTACACTTTAGTTGAAACAATGTCACGTAACATTCTCGCATTGTATAAACTAAATAAAAAACAAATTTTGCAGCTAATATTTTTTGATTTTATCAATTATTTTTTTAATTCTATTCAATCTAAGTAAAACCCCTTTATTACGACTGTTTTGATTGTCACGAAATTGGAACGATTCAGTTCAACATTTTATTTATTTGTCTTTATTTATCTTTTATAATGAACAAAATACATATTTCACGAGAACTCTATTCATGAAAATCATGACAAGGTCTCTTTATTATCTTGATTTCCAAGTATAGAATATTTTTACATCTCGATATCTTTTGTCATAACTACAATCAGGGCCGGAGTGAGACCATTTTTCTTGTGAGGTCAAAAATGAGAATTAAAAAATGTTAAGATAAAAAAAAAACACTCGAGGAAAACTCAAAAAATTAAATAAATTTGTGGGGTCATTTGACCCCATGTGGGTCTGCAAGTGACTACAATACCAAATTGAGGCTTATTTCATATTCTTCTATAGATTCTCGATTATACTATTAACGTAATCAACTAGCCAAATATCACATCATTGTAACGTAGACATTCCGTTTTGCCACGTAGATTATTTTGTTAGTTTTGATCGATGAAAGTTAATTTATATCCAATTTTGTAAGTTCATTGGCCCCTGCTTGACCTTCATTTTATAAATCTCATTTTTTTGAAAAAAAAAAGAAAAAAAAAATTTAGTCAGGCATTTCATGAAACTCAAAATTTTTATCAACTTCTTACCTACACATTCAACTTTTATCAAATTTACTAGAACTCCAATTTCAGCTAAACCAAACAAGGCCATATTATTTTGATAAATGAGGTAAAGCTCTCGTATAGTTCGCACATTTAACCCCTCTTTGGTCCTCATTTCTAAAACCCGTGCTTCCTCAAATTTATTTCAATTTACATATTTCACGAGATTCACATTTTTATTAATTATATATATATATAGATCAAAATTTACTAAAAAAATAATTAAATAACTAAAACGAACAGTTTCAATCCAAAAACATACCATAGTAGAACTATTAAAACTTAAGCTTCTTCGGTAGAAATTCAAATTTATATTTTAATCTGAATCAACATTAATAATTAATTTTAATAACATATTTTATGAGATATACTCCTTTTTTAATCACATATTTTATTTAGCGACGGTTTGGTTTTTATTTTTTCAACCCCAGAATGCATTATATGACCGTCGCTCTCCTAAAAATGGGTCCCACCGAGAGATACTAAGTCGAAAAAGACTATGTTGCATTGCCAACCATCCAAAAGTTTATTAAAATGGGAAATAAACAGGCATTCGTTCTCATTAAAATTTACAAAAACTCTTATGAGTAAAATGAACGAAAGATTTTAATATAAATCAAAATCAACGATAAATTTTAATTACATAATTTATAAATTCTACTACTTTTCAACTATAGGTTTAGAGTTTGTTTGGAAGAGATTAAAATTAAAAAGTTGGCTGTTACTGATTTTTATTAGATGAGTGAAACCCAATAACGATTATATTTTCAATTTTAATTGAATTAAAATCCCAGATAACAACAAATAAGGGATTTACTCCCAGTAAACCCTTGTTTCTCTGTCTACGCCTCGTCCTGTTCACCGCGGCTAGGGTTTCATCAAACTACTATCGCTTTATCCCTTAACATAGATCTGTTTTATTTATCATGATAACTATGAATGAAGAGTTAAATTAAGGATCTCTGTTTCTGATATATCTGAAAAGGCTAGGGTTTTTCTTCTGGTGACTGAAAAATGGCGACAGCGAATCCTTTTGATTTGTTGGGAGACGATGATACGGAGGACCTGTCGCAGCTTATGCAAAAGATCGAGCCGAAGAAAGCCCTAGCTCCCTCGGCCACACCAAAGCATCAGCCGCAAAATAAGTCGGCGGCTGCTGCGGCGAATGCTAAGCTTCCCTCGAAGCCTCTTCCCCCGGCTCAGGCTGGTATGTTACGCTCCTCTCTTCCTTCTTCTTCTTCTTCTTCTTTCTTTTCTGTCGATAATTTAAAAAGAAGGAAAAGAATTCTAAGATTCTGATTAATGTATAAATATGTGATTTCCTGTTTCTGTTCTATAGAAATGGATTATTATGATATCATTTCTAGTAAAGTCTAATTACTTATTAGAAATTATATATATACTGTTTTTTTTACTAACATGTATATAAAAATATTCCTGTTGCTAAAATTTTTTTACAATAAATTTCTGCAAATATTCTCCGATATTGTTCTATTTGAGAGCTATGTATCTTTCATAATCAAAGAATATGAACTATGTTAATTGATTTTTTATGACAATGATATTGCTTTATAATAGCATTTTCCCTGCATTTGTATTCAATTATTAAAATTGAGATCTGTTTTGCTCAGCAGATATCTCGTTATCCAATTCAAGATTGCAACTATCCAACATTATTTATTCTGTGTTTGAGTTGCTATATTGCCGTAATATGTTGTTGCCTATATTATTTCCTCATCTCTCGTGGATGAGTAGATGACAGGAAAAATTTCTGCATATAATGTGCTACAGAACGTTTAGTTTTCTATGTACAGACAAAATGAACTTTTGTTAAAATTGTTTGCTGAGATATTTCGTCTCATATGGATTTCAATTTTCACCCTTCATTATATTTACTCTCTACCCACAGAAAATATTTGTTGTTTTTTTGACTCTCTGTTTTGGGCTTTGTCAAGCCATCAATTAAATAATGAAGCTGAATCATCAAATGAGTATTCAGCAGTGACATAGGTAGCTTCAACGATTTATGTGTGTAGGAATCGTCGCTATCTAAATATTTTAATTGAGATTTACCTTTAAGACATCATGTACCATTTCCTCACCTATCTTCCCCCTTTGTTGGGTTTCTTTTAAATGCATCCCTAGCATACGTCATTTTGTAGAAATGAAAAAACTTATGAAGCACATATTTAGATATGTAATTCAAATATGATATGATACGAGTAGATTGATATTACTTTTTAACCAAAGTAAAAATACGCGGATAAGCGTGTGTATAGCCCTTGTTTGGTGCCCATTATTAAAAAAAAAAAAAAGAGTTTTGAATAGCATTTTTAGGAGAACATGTGGTTAAAATGTGGGGAAAAATTTTGGGTTTATGTGTAGAATATTTTATTGTGTCAATGTGTGGTTGAAAATGATCCTATAGCAAAAAAAGTTTTAAAACCATGAGCACCAAACAAGGGCATAATATGTGTGTAGTATTTTTCATAGGGCCTGACAATAAAAATAAAATAAAATATTAAATATCATAATCCTTAATTGTTCAAACTTCATTTTCTTCAACATCATCACCATCACCATTGCCATCTTCTTCTTTATCTTTAAAATAACACTATCCAACTCAGTCTCGTCTAACGATATATTAACAATCTCAAGCAGTCCGACACCTTCAAGAATATCAAATGAGTATTCGACAATTTTGAATTCTCCTATTGAATAAAGATTTAATTTTTTTTGATAAAAGAAGCATATTGCTATAAATGAGAACAAATTATTTAGCTCATTGTGAAGTTATTTTATTCATTCTCATAGAGTGCACAAAAGAGTAGGAGCTCCTTGTTAACTATTTTCAGTAAGTTATTGATAATAACAATACTATTTTCTCAAGTAAAAAAAATTGTGATCTATTCTCAATAATAATATAATGAATTAAAACAATAAAACTCTTCTTCTTTACGTGTCCTAAGGTGTTTGGTACGTATCGAAAATTTAAAAAATATAAAATAATTAAAAAAAGTACTCGATACGTATGGAAGAGTATCCAAGCTTTGATACATATAAGATACGGGTGTGCAATAAGTTTACAAGTATCTGTCCTTTTTAGGAAAAAACTGTTAATACATGAGATGTGTAAACCTTTTCAACATATTGCTCTCGGAATATCTGCACTGATTATGTATTCTTGCAACAAATATCCTGTTTACTGAATTCAAGCACTATACCCAATGGGTCCATAAGAGTTTGATTGTAAACGTCAAGGTCCAATGATTAGTACAAATTGCCTACTTTGTTTTTATTGTTAACCTTATTTGGAGAAGGCTTGATATACTTATTCATGCCATATTTCTGCTGATTCTCCCAGCTTATTTGTTCATGGTTATGCTCGCTCAATTTCATGAATTCTTGCTTTATATTAGTTACCTCTTGAAACAGCCTTGTATATTATAATTTTTCCAAATTGTAGCAAAATAAGTTTTATGTAGGCTACTCGTCAACACTTTATTTAGGTTCAAATCATCACTTTTTGATATTTTTTTGTTGATTCCTTATATTTTTGTGTTTGTTCATTTGAGTAGTCAGAGAGGCAAAATCTGACTCTGCACGAGGAGGCCGTGGTGGACGAGGATATGGGCGTGGGCGTGGTGGTGGCCGTGGTTACAACAGAGACTCTACCAACAACGAGAATTCATATGGAAATATGGAAATTTCAGGTGGTCAAGGACCTCAAGATGCATCTGGAGAAGCCGATACCAGAAAGCCGTTTGAAAGGCGTGGTGGCTATGGTGGACCTCGTGGTCCTTATGGAGGTGGTCGCCGAGGTGGCTTCAACAATGGAGAAGTGGGGGAAGGTGAGCAGGAAAGGCCACGTCGGGTTTTTGATCACCATAGTGGCTCTGGGCAGGGGTATACATGCTATGTTTTTTGCGAACTTAATCTCTTTTGTCTTTGCATCTTTGCCATCTTAGACATTTATATTCCGTTTTAAACTCATTCCACTGCAGAAATGAGATAAAACGTGAAGGAGCTGGCAGTGGTAACTGGGGAGCTCAGACTGATGAACTGGTTGAGTGAGTATTTCCTTGGTGCCTTTGGCAGCAAGGCTTTAATCAATACTATGGCATATGCCTTTTCTCATATATCTAATACTGTGGTCCTTCTACCATGGTTTCTTTTCTAGAGTTACCGAGGAAGTTGTCATTGAACGTGAGAAAAATCTGAATGCTGAGAGTCCCTCAGGAGAGGAGGATGCAGCACATGGAAACAAGGAAACTTCTGTAATTGAAATTGAAGAGAAGGAACCTGAAGATAAATTTAAGGTCTTCATATAAATTAATTCACGAGTCCATATTTTTTTGGTTTTTTGTCTGCTTGTTTCTACTACTACAGGCCAATGTTTGTTCTTTCCTTTTATGTTCACATAACGTCTTGCAAGATGACTTTAATCTTCTTTTGCAAGGTAATTCCAATCGATCATTTAATTATATGTTCTCTTTCACTTTGAGCCAGAGTAGATGTCACATGGGGGAGTATGTTTGGCATTAGTGATGAGGTTTTTATGACCTGTGAAGATAATTTTGTAGATATTCTCAGAAATACGATAATCATCTGAGCTGAGTTCAAGAATGCTGATTGCTGGAATGACTTAATTTGTAGCTATTCTGTCTGCAGTCTGTCTTACTAACTACTTTGGTGACACCAATTGAACTCCTGTAGTTTCATATAGCAACTTTCTTTGCAATTTGAATTCTGAAGTCAGAGACTACTACATCCCATAGACGTCCTTGTGGCAAGCCAAATTAAATAATATGCATCACAGACTGATCATAGTACTTGTATTTTATTACCCCAAACTGGTATTCCTTTTTCAAATATAAGAATTAACTTAAAAGAAGCGCTGAACTGTTATTCATTGCATAATTATGCGACTTGGTACTGAACTGCAGTTTTCATTAATTTTATGATTTTTGGATGCTTGATGCATGACAATTGTGTCATCGTATTCATGCCTTATGAAATGAAATCTCGTACGTTCTCTGTTCTGTTTTGCATGAAAGCTCACATTACTTTCACCATACAAACCTTTTGCAATTTAAATGAGAAACATACCAGACTAAGATTGACTTTTAACTACCTTAATTTTCATTAGTGTCATGCCATTTGAGTCAGTGTTGGCATCTCTGTGCACATTCGGAATAAATGTTCCTCGAAATTGCAGGAGATGACTCTTGAAGAGTACGAGAAGGTTCTAGAGGAGAAAAGGAAGGCTCTCCAGAATCTTAAAACTGAGGAGAGGAAAGTTGACGGGAAAGAGTTTGTATCTATGCAACAACTTGCAAACAAGAAAAATAATGATGACATATTCATCAAATTGGTGAATTTATTAGATCTCCTCGCAGAATTTATTTTCATGCTTGTCACTCTTCTACATTCATCTTTGATATGTTCTTCATGATGCATGACAATGTGATACAAATCATTTATGATCGATTTGATTTGTACCGTAGGGCTCTTTCAAGGATAAGAAGAAAGAATTGGCCGAGAAGGAAGAGAGAACCAAAAAGGTAAGTATTTATATATATACATGTATATATATATATATATAGTCTCTTCATGGGTTATACGGGTCAAGTGCCATTGCTGTAAACTTCCCTGTTCTCTCCCTCCCCACTCCCTCGGCCAGCCTGCAAGGGATTGTCAATAGTAAACCTTTTATTTCCATACCGAATCTGATCATGCAATTCAGGTGTCAACTGCTTGACCACATTTTATTTTGGATGTTTTAGTCTGTCAGTATTAACGAGTTCTTGAAGCCTGCTGAGGGTGAAAAGTACTATTCTCCTGGTGGCCGTGGTCGTGGACGTGGTCGTGGTTCCAGAGGAGGTTACAATGGTGGTGGTGAGATGAGCAATGAGAGAGCGCCTGCCATTGAAGATCCAGGACAGTTCCCTACCTTGGGTGGAAAATGAGATGTTTTCATGCTTTCCTACTGCCATTTTATCTATACTCACCTCGTTTTTCGGGGCAGGAATTAACTGGAATAATGGAGATATCTCCTGTATCAAAAGAGTCGCTTAAAGTTTATGCCTTGAATGTATATTACTGCGTTTTTTCATGTCAAACCCCCCGCCCCAATGCTTTTTCACTAATGCCATGTCTGTTTCCGTTTTGAGAATTTGTGGCATATGAAGAATTAACTAGCGCCCTGTTTGGTTTAGCTAAAAATCAGGTTTTTAGTAGATTTAGATAAATGTTGATGAATTTTATAGTTTAAAAGTTGATAAAAGTAATGGGTTTCATGAAATGTGGTTGGAAATAAGCTCTGAGGGGAAATGAATTTTAGAAAATAGGGATATACGTGTGATTCATCCTTTGCCTAAATGAGGCTTCACTTTCTATCATTGTGTCAATTCATTGAAAAGTCTCAATAAAATTCAAAACTTCAACAGGAGAATTGATTTTCTTCTTCATTTCTTCTTTTTCGAGTGAACTTTGACAACCTATTCAATATCTTTATTTTTTTCAAGGGAGATGCTACGTGTACACAATAATGTACACACGGTTTTACACTTCCCTCACATGGAGGGGGATTCACACACAATAAAATATTCGTGGACTCCCCTTCATGTGAGGAGGGTGTAAAGTCGTGTGTAAACCATGAGGTGTACACAGCGTTTTTTTTTTTTTTCAAAGGGCTCAATCTGACCTAGTTTACATGATTACCATCTTAATTAATGTTGGGTGGCAATTATAATTCGATTGGTTTGACAAATGAAAGATATGGTAAGATATTTACGTGTGTACAGCTACTCTTTGTTTGCAAACATGTTTAGAAATATACATTAAAGGTGAATGATTATTTTGAAAAATCACCAGAATTTTCTAATGCATTTTCATGATTAGAGCCACGAACATCCATTATTCAACGCAATACAGGCAGGTTCAACAATTCTATTAGCCATTTAATTTTCAACACAGATATTCTACGTGGTATCCATGAGGCATATATATTAGGTGTATGGGAAAAAGAGGCCCTAAACTATTTATAAAATCTATTATTTTAATATTAAAAATATGGGAAAATTACAAAAAACAAGGTGTTTAAAGGTTGATTTTCAAAAATCAAGTGGAAAATTTAATTATTCAAAAATCAGGTAATAATTTTATATGCACACCATCTAACCCATCCAAACCCTAAAATCAATTTTTCTCCCTCCATTCTCTCATCTCCTCTCCCGTCTCTCTAATCAAACCGCCGCCGCCATCCCGGCTGCCGACGTTTCTTCCCATCCTCTCTCTCTCTCTCTCTCGTCTTCACTCTCCCTCTCGTCTCTCCATCTGTCATTTTCCTCATCTCGCAGCAACGCCACTGAGACTGAGAGTCGTCGGCTCGCCGCTCTCAGTGGCGTCGCTGCGATTCGCCCCTCCTGGGAGTGGCTGCATACGACAAGAAAAATTAGTTCAAACTCCGACAATCGGCGACGCTGCTGAGAACGAAAGCTGCTGAAAACGGCGAGGCTGCTGCAGTCCTTCGTCTTCCCCTTTTTGTTTTGTTTTTTTTTTCTATTGTGGGTATGAGGATGACTGGATGGTGGTGATGTGGTGGTGGTGTAGGCGCTGTTGGTGTTGATGATGGTGAATTTGGCAGTTGTGTGGTGGTGGTGGAGGTGGGCGATTTACTTTTCAGTTTGCAAATGGTTGTTTCCAGTTGTGGTGAGATGGTAGTGGTTGTTTAGTGGTGTGGTTGTTTCTGGGTTGCAAAATGGCATTTCTGACTGTGGAGGTGGTGGTGGTTGTGTGGTGGCGGCGACGGTGGCCGGGTGAGGGTGGTCACAAGTTGTCGTAGTGGCAGTGGCAGTAGTGTTGGTAAGGGTGGTATGTGACCACTATTTGGTGCATGTAACTAATTATTTGGTCATTTCACTCATTTGTAACCAAGTATGGGTGGTGGACCAGATCGGGGTTGGGTGTTTTGGCATATGTGACCAACTATTTGGTTCAACT